ACTCACTTTTATGAAACTACCTAAGATCCTGAAGCAAGAGCCAAGAAAAGAGTTCAAAAGAAAATATTTCAAGAGAATTATTCAGGCTGTTAGGCTCAAGCTTTTTAAGGCACAGTTCTTGAGACTGCATACGTTTGAGGACTCTGGCATCTCATAGGGTATCTACTCAATGGCAAAGGGCAAAAGTATATAGCCTCTTTAGTGAAAAACCTGCTTATCTGCAGCACAAAAGAAACCTGCAGATGGATACCCCCTGCATGAGACCAAAGTCCGCAGTCATTGGAATGTAAGACTAGAAAAAACAAATACTACAAAGACCAGTAACGGGGGGCGATTTCTTGCATATTTTTTGTGACCATCTTGGTTCACAGAGGAGGGGGTCCCCAAAACATGTGAGCCAGCAGGGTACCTTTGTACTGAGTAGCTATCTGTTTGCCCAGATGTCTTCCCAACCGTGAGACAGAAAAAACAGAGCTCTTATAAAAATAAGTTGGGGAAAAGAAAAGTGTGTCAAGTGAAACAAGGCACATTGTGTCCCATCTGATATTTATTAAATGTTGATCAAGTCAGCAATGAGAAATGCACATCATCCGGAAGTGACCTTGACTCTCTGGGATTTGAAGTTAGTGACAAATGTCTGGGAGCAGCAGATCAACATTAAAACCATGTGTACAGAATGCATAGTGGAGTATGCTGTGCTATGCAGAACAATAACAAATAAAGGAACCTGGGCTAAGCCCAGTTCTGTGGTGTTTACATCTATTCTGTTACTGGAACTGATGCAGGGTATTTTCCTATGGAGTTAATTAAAGTTCTCCAAATAGGTGGTGATATACCTAATAGGATAACACTGATCAAGAGAATCTTATAGTCTTTATACTCAGACCTCAGTCAGGCAAAAATGCTAGTGCAAGTTTTGTCTCATTAAAGACCAAATACAGGGTTTTTTTAGTATGTGAATTTGTTCTTCCAAGGAAAAGGTTTCTGATGGTACCTAGTTTATGCTGAGCTGCAGTGTTTTACAAATTCTGGATCCACATTGCCTCATCTTCTGATAGATTGATGTGGTCATGTTTCCATTCCCTATCTAATTAGGATTTTAGTAAAGTGAATTTGAACTCTTCAGCCTTCCAGAGAAATACTGTATTAATATCTATTCACTCACCCAAGACGTGTCCAGGTTTCCAACATCTTTGGTCATCTTCTGCATTTAATTGGTATGAAAGCCAGCCAGAATCAGGAACTAATACAGGTGTTCCTAACCCATCATAAAATCCACAGCACAGAAGGGGTTAAAGTGATACAGCTGTAATACATTGTCAATCCAAATTCTCAACTGTGCCCACTTCTAAGGGAAAAAAACATTGTTACAGCTCCCTGAATTCTTTATCCCAGCCCTGGCCCTAGTACAGATAAATCAATTTAGGGTATTTGAGACTACAAGTATGATGCAATTTTAAGCTGGCATGCACAGAGAGCCAGCATGCAGTATAACCCAGGGCTCAAATGTATATTACTCAATAAAATCATGTTAGTCTTTTTGGCTGCTTTCATATATATTGTATGTTATTAGTACTGACAGCACCGAATTGCTAAAAAAATAAAAAAGGGTCTGTCTCAAGTTGGGATGTTATTTTATGAAACCCATTGAAAGTGAAAATTCCACAAAGTCAACATGTTTTTTTTTGATGTGGAGAAGGGTACAAAAGACAGGAAATAAGTGGTTTGCAAAATATTGGTGTACATATACAATGCTAAATGATGAATTGTATTACATTCAGGGAGGATTGCAGCTCTTTATATGGCCCAGAAAATCAAATTAAGTTCAGTGACAAAAAGAAAATGACAATGTGGACATGAGCAACTTTAATATAGAATTTTAATATGGATGAAGCATTTCAACATAAGGTGCTATCAGACACATATTTCTGCCTCCTCTTATGCTTTGTATATCTGTAATCTATTAACCTTTCTAATTATGGACTTGTTACTCCTTCCACTGATTCCAATAGGAACAGAATCCTGCTTCTGTTACCTGGAACGAGGAAGCTGACGGTGGTGTTCTGAGTACCTTGAACTTGAATGAATTTCAGTGGATGGTGAGGTGTTTGGAAGATTATAAAATGGGGTCCTAAATTATAAACCCCTCCAAGGAGGAGCCTGTTTTTTCAAGCTTATCTCAAAGAGCATTTTTACATGTGCTCCAGGAGTAGGGGAGAGGGGAGGGCGCTTTAATTAGAGCACCTGGAACATCTCATGTGTTAGCATCCCTGCAAATGGTGGTGGGGGTGCTTTAACTAAAGCTCATTTGACGAGCTTTAGATAAAGCGCCACTGCCACCATTTTGAAGTGCAGGAATGCTGACACATGAGACACAGAGGCTGGCTGGAATGCGGTTATTACCATGCTCCAGAAGATTGAGTCTACTCTGACGCACAGTAATTACAGTGCATCAGAGCAGCCTCCTGGCTCATGGATAGGCACCCAAAAGCGCCACTGAGCCTATTTTGATCCTTCTGCCACATGGTTAGAAGCAGCAGAAAAGTTCAAAATATCTATGGTCACTCTTAAAAAACTACTAAATCAGCTCAAACTGTCCCCCAGATAGCTTTGGAAAACTAGGCACACACTTTTTGTGTGCCTAGATCATGCAGTTCCCCTTCTTACCACTCTAGGATTGTGGACAAGCAGGAAAGAGAAGCCATGCACATTAGAACTCAAGTGTAGAGTTTGTTCTGCTTGATAATGAGCTTTTTGCCTCTTTAAATCTGTCTGAGAGCCCACCATAGTTTCACACCCATATTTATGTGGCAAAAAAAGAAGGGATGGGTGAATAGCCCACTTAAAAAGGAAGTTCTCTTTGTCAGCCTTTTTCCCTTTTCCACTATCAGAGGAAATAAAGAGCCCTTTTCCCCTGGAACTTCTATCCTTACAGCTTATATCAGTGATTCTCAACCAGGATGCTGCAACACCTTCTGGTGCCTTGAGATCCTTTCAGAGGTGCCACAGAATGTGATGCAATATTATCACTGTTTGGTTTGAAAACATGATTCACAAGATAAACCCATGGCTGCTTGCAAATGTAAAAAAATAAAAAGGGTTTATTTTAAGTAATAAAAAAGCGGTGCATTACTTCAACCCGGCTCCTCAGTGTCTGTATAGATTGGGCACTTCAGCGGGGCTTTTTGGCACTTTTAGCTAAAGGTGATTCAATCAGCTATTAAATAAAAGCACCAAAAAATTAAAATCCCTCTTTAAAGCACTTTAGGTTTAAGAAAATCACTAGAAACTGTTAATTGGCTTGGTTTAATATGCTGTTTCCGTCAGTAAATGTAGCTGAAGCTGCCTGTGCATTTCTCTGAAGGACTACACAGTGTAGAACAGGGGTAGGCAACCTCCGGCACAGGTGCCAGAGCATGGCACACAAAGGCATTTTGCTTGGCACGCATGCCTCGGGGCAGATGGCAAGGGAGGATCTAGGGCTTCACTGACACAACAACAACTGAGCCCCTTGCAGCTCCCCTACCATCTGGCCCAGAATGCGAACAGTTGAGGTTGCAGGTGTTTTTGGCACTCTGCCCAAAAACGTTGCTGACCCCTTGTGTAGAAGGTCACCAGTTGGAGGAAAGTAAAGTAAACTGTGGGTGAATCCTCACAGGCAATATTATTTACTCATAAAGAGTTACCAAGCATGTTTCATTAGATAGATAATTTGGTATGTACAATTTATTAAAGCTTAAAGCTCTCTCGCGCACGATTATTTTAAGATGTTATGTTGCCATAGCGATGAGCTACGGCGATGTAGCTTGTCACTATGACAATGTAGCTTTGGCATCACAGTTTGTGCCGACTGATGCTATGTCACCGTACCAACGAGCTATGGCAATGTAACATCTCATATAGACACCTACAGAGAGCTATATTCATTACCCTTGAATTACTCTCATCAGAGTGAGGAATGTCGCCTATTCATTCCAACATGGTCTTTATATTTTTGTGCTTTTATGTTTGTGTTCCTCTTGCATTTTGTAGTAGTCTAAGCAAAGTTTGCAGAGTTTAAGAGGTACTCCCTGTGTTTGTTTACAGATGAATGACTACCGGGGCCCAAAATGGGTTGGTATTGGTATGTTTTCTAAAAAACACAGCTAGTAAAGTTTTATCTTCTCTGTTAAACTAGAGGCTTCTTTTTTGATGTTTTGGGGTTTTTTGGGCTTGTCTTTAGAGAGATTTACCATAATGGCTATACTGGTTTAATTGAATAAGTTAGAACTTCCTGGGTAGACACTCTTATTCCAGAATAAGAATGTTCTGTTCTTGTTCTGTTTCTAAACACACGGACTATTATGGTAGAGCAGCTAATGTTGAGCAGAGCTTTGCTCCCCTGGTAAATTGTTCATGTGCCCATTTCCCAACTGAAGAAAGACAATTTTATTCTGATATACTGTATGAGAAGAGTTATGTTCAGAAAGTCTCCATGTAAGCAAGCCATATATCTCATGAACCTTATTCTACTCAGTGCCAACACAATGGCTAATATTTCCCTTGTAAGTATGTGTAAGGTAAAATTCTCCTTTTAGACATTTATAATAGTCAAGTTTTGTATTCCGCCTCTGCTTGAGTGTGTATCACCAACTCCTGACAATGCAGGCAAGCTGACTCAGAGGGAATATTGCCATAAATATTTTCTGCTTAAGTGTACCTTATTCTCATGAGCATGTTCTGTTAATATAACTGAGTTTTGGAAGCTACATTGTGTTTTCCAGTTAAGTTGCATCTAGTAATCTTTGAAACCTTAAATTGGGCATATCACTGAAGCGAGAATGTAAAAAATTACCATGTATTAATTAGCTTGTCCAGGACAGGCATATGTTAACAGTTATAATCTATTTATGTAAACGTCATTCTTTGGTCATTTACAGAGATCTAGACAAAGAAACCAGAAGATAAAAGCTGAAAATTGGTCTTTGCCTCTATTCTAAAATCCCCATCTTCTTTTACAGGCATTCAGGAGGGGACTCAATGTACCAAATGTAAAAATAATTGGGCACTGAAGTTTTCCATCATATTACTATATATTTTGTGCGCCCTGCTAACAATAACAGTGGCTATTCTGGGATACAAAGGTATGTACCATATCTAACTCAGCATTTCACTTTCAGACAGGGACCCAACAAAATCTGTGCATGCTAGAAAGAGATGAAGGGACTGTATTTTATTATTCCCTGTGGGTTCATTACAATGTAAAATCTGTCTATCAGCATGACTTATTGCATGCTTGGCATCATTTGTACCAGAAAAATCTAAAGTCTCTCTTTTAAACAATTTTAAAATTTTGAATTAGGTTATAAAATTAAAAGAGATCTTTTTAAAGGAATAGAATTGTATTATGGGGTGTCAATATGTATGGGTATTAATTGGGAGACCTAATGAGCTATACAAATCCCCTGGCCTCACAAAGAAAATCCTTACCTGTAGACTCACATGTCTGTTTGGAACAGTATCAACTTCATTGGGCTACGTGTGGGTACTGGGGTCTGCTCATACAGAATGTCTGATGTGCTGGGAGGGCCAGGACCCTCATGAATCATAGAGAATCATTGGGAAAATGGGGCAGGAAGGGACTTCCAGAGGTTATCTAGTCTAGGTTATCCTGCTTGAGGCAGGATCATCCCTACCCATACCATCCTATACAAATCCATTGCCTAACCTATTAGCAAGATGATGTAACCAACTCTGACACAACCACAAGACATAGCTCCCTGATCTGCCACAGGTAAAGCAAGGTGACCATTATTGCCAATGCCCTGCTGCTGCAAAGGCTGTTAAACTATGCTTGAAAAATATGCAAGAAAGAGGGTCATGGCTCCCACTGCAGAAGAAACTTCTCACAGTCTGTACTACCCTGACTGTGGGTAAAATTCCTTCCTGACCCAAAATATAGTGATCAGTCTGATCCTGAGCAGAGAAGCAAGACCCTTTAGCCAAGAACTTCGGGGTTTAAGTCCCAGGAGGCGCACTGGCTGACCCCAGTCAAAATCCCCAGCCTTTGCTGCAGCCAACACCCAATGCTTCTGAGGAAGGTTTAAAAAAACTATAGTGAGACTTATAATAGAAGCCCAGATGTATTATTGTTTGAATGATTTGGAAGAGGGGCTGAAGGGTGATGTGCCAACATTGAATTACATAGTTATTTTGACTGGCCAGGCCTTATGCTAATTTTAAAATCTGTGAGGAAATTCCAAAGAATTTAACAATGAGAACTTAGACAACATGATGACAGAGGAAATTCCATGCAAATGAGAACAAGAAAATGTATATTGGAAGGAATGGCTTGAACCTCTCATGTCCACTGATTATTTTAATTTAGCAGTAGTCATTCTAGCATTGTAGTCAACAGATCAGTTCAGGTACTGGCTCATACTGCAGTACCAATCAAAATAAGCAAACAAGATACAAGTCTGCTCAAGAAATGAATACTGAAATTTTTATACTGGGACTGCAGGAATGTTTACAATAACAATTCTCAACTAGGCTGCTGTGAGATCCTCTTAAGGGTGTTACAGGGTGCTGTGCAGTATTAATACTATTAGGTAAGCTAACACCTCTCACAATTCACGTGATAAACTGAAAGATTTCAAATAAGTCACAGTGTTAAAAACATTCTGACTTGTTGTGGTCTTTCTGGGCACAGCTACACATGCTATTAATATGCAGCAATAAACTCCAGTGCATATTGCTCAAGAGTTTATTGCTCCCAAGCATACTGTCTGAATGTGCACCCAAGACCACAGCATGTTGAGCTGAGTTGGGGCAGCCCTGGCTGGTAGCGGGTTCAGGGAGTCAGCCTGCTGGGGCTACTCCAGCCTGCTCAATGTGTTGCAGAGGGTCCGGCTGGGGCACATGGGTGCTCAGTATGGGGCTAGCTGGCAAGGCAGCCCCCAGACTGAAGCACCCTCATGCCCCAGCCAGCCTGGTGTATTGATCTATATGGAAAAAAATGCAGCAGGATATTTGTATTTACAAGTAGTAACCTATGGCAGAATTAATTGTTTTCCTGAAGCCTAATAGGGCTGCACATGTAGATGTGGAGACTTTACTGCAGAGCTAATTAGGCAGCTCCACAGTAAACATCTTGTGTAGATGTGCTCTCTGAGTTCTTTACAACAGAAGATTTGCTCTATTATTTTTATATAGTCCAGAAAAAAATGAAAGCTTAGAGCTTATATTTTCCAAGGGGTGCCTTGAGTCTAACAAGGGTTGTCTTGAGTCTAAAAAGGTTGAGAATCATTGGTCTACACTGTAGTCACAATAGAGACTGCAACCTACCTAGGGTAGATACATTTGAAACTAGCTTTAGACTAGGTAACTCAGGTACTTATAGTAATGGCACTATGGCAGCACAGAACTCGGTGAGAGCTATAAAACCTGTTCAGAAGCCACTTGGGTGGCTTTGCCCACACTGAGTTCCCTGTTGCCATTGTTTATAAGAGCCATATTCTGGAATATCTGTGGTGCTTTTTTTGGATTTTTTTCCTAAAAAGGAAATAAAAGAAATAGAAAAATGATAGAAAAGGGCAACAAACATGATGAAGAGACTTGGGGAAAATTTTGAACGGGAAGAAAATGAAACAGAAAAAAAAATTATAATTTGGAAGGGAAATTTATTAAACAGAGATGCAACAAAAATATGAATGATAAACAAATTTGGGTGCTCTTGTTTACCTTTTTGATTAAAATACAAGAACAAGGAGGTGTTTAGTAAATAAAAATCCAACATATAACTGGTAACATTTACTTGTGAACAACTTGCCCAGTATATTGTCACAATATATTGAGGCACATAATTTAGTAGGATTCACAGTACAAGAGATCTACTAGAAAACTATAAATAACTTTAGTCTAACTTATCCTAAAGATCTAAAGTAGGTATGGGCAGTTATTTAGGCTGGAGGGCCACTTATGGAGTTTTGGTGAGCTGTTGTGGGCTTGGGGGTAGGGATGCAGTTGAGCCTATCTGGCCCTGGGGCCCATCTACCCTGCACCCACCACCAGAGACAATGGATGGAGCAGGCAGGTGTGTAGTGTCTCCATGGAAACTGGCCCAGGACCACCGTCGGCAGTGCATGCTCAGACAGGCAGATGGGGCCACGGGTGGGCAGGGAGTGATGTCCAGGAGCAGAATGGGCAGAAAGGGCTGGGATCCTGGGGCAGTAATGGCACAGGGCCGGGGCCCAGCACAGAGCCCCAGTCCACCCCCCACACATCCCTTCCCGCAGAACCAGCACCCATCAAAGGGATATGTGGGGAGTGGATTGCAGCTGTGCCCTGGCTCTGGCCTTGGCCCTGCACTGCCCCACATTGCTCCTGGTTTGTGCCAGGGCTGCTCACAGCTCAGCAGCACAGGGCACCTTTATGGATCATGACTGGATTAGGCCTCTCCATGCTGCTGGGCCATACCGCTCCACAACTATGCTGTGGGGACCATGGAGTGGGGCTGTCCGCATGTTCCTGCACTGAGGCGGGGGCAGCTGGACTGGGTGACAAGTGTGTGCTCCACTGTCCTCCCAGGTCGGCCTGGTCACAATCCATCAGGGCTACCCCACACTGCCAGGCCACGAGCAGCCACAGTGTGAACCAGGTGCAGTATGGGCAGCATGTGGATCTGGGGCCAGGGCCAGGGGCTGAGGCAAAACCATTATCGACTCCCCACACATCCCTGCAATGGGCAATACTTCCAGAGGCAGGGATGTGCAAGGAGCAGATCAGGCCCTGGCTCTGCACTGTTACCACCTCATGATCCCAGTCCTGGCCCTGCCTGCCCATTCCATTCCCAGACACCACTCTCTGTTTACCCGCCCATGGCCTCATCCGATCCATCCAGCCAAGTGTGCCCTGCCTGCAGACTCCTGCACCAGTCTCCTTGGAGACCCCACCTGCCTACCTACTCCATACCCCCAGTGGTGGGTGCAGGGCAGACAGGCTAAGGTGCCCAGGCAGCAGGGCCTGGTCCAGTGGCATTGGCAGCGGCAGCAGGGCACACACCTGCTTCTGGGTGGCAGCAGGGGCTTCCAGGAAGTGAAGTGTGGCTGCCCCCAACCTACCACCTAGCCCTGTGAACTATAGCTCCTGACATGCCCAAGAGCTATGTGTCGGGACAGGGTGGTCTGCGCCAGGTGGCATCTCCATGCCCGGGGGTAGCAGGACCAGCCACACACACCACATCCCAGGCTGCCTCCTACACCAGGGCCAGGTAGGGTTAAGGGACCTGCGGTGGGCCAGATAGAATCACGCCGTGGGCCAGATTTTGCCAACATCTGGTCTATAGACTTCCCTCCTGTCCCTGACCCCCCCATTAGATTTCATAGATTTCATAGACATTAGGGCCGGAAGGGACCTCGGAAAATCATCGAGTCCAGCCCCTCACCCAAAGGGCAGGAAGTCAGCTGGGGTCATAGGATCCCAGCAAGATAAGCATCCAATTTTCTCTTGAAGGTGTTCAGTGTAGGTGCTTGAAACATCTCCGGTGTCAGGCTGTTTCAGACCTTGGGGGCTCAGACAGTAAAGAAATTCTTCCTTATGTCCAGCCTGAAACGGTTTTGTAGTAGTTTATGACTGTTTGACCTTGTCATCCCTTGGGGCTCTCTGGTGAACAAACATTCCCCCAGATACTGGTGGTCACCCCGATAAACTTATAGGTGGCCATCAGATCACCCCTGAGCCTGCGCTTTTCCAGGCTAAAGAGCCCCATGGCTCTCAGCCTGTCGTCATAAGGTCTGTTTTCCTGACCTCTGATTACCACGTTTACAAATGCATCAGTGTCTGAATCAAATATGGGTAATGATACTGTGCAAGAAAGTATCACTTCCCACCACCCCCCACTAGACCTTGTGCAATTCTTCTTTAAATAACATCTGTTATGATTAGGGTGAGGTGAAACAGCTCCTCAATTTCAAATGGTTCCTAAAGAGAGATGTGAAAATTTTTCCATACATTGACTTTTGTCTTCCTTGATGTCATAGGTACAATTTGGACAGTACCAATTAATAATCTGTTGATCCTTAAGAAGGTTTGGGATCTTTCCCATTTAGATCTCTTGAAGATCCTGTGAAATAATATTTAAAAA